ATATTCGAAGTGGTCCCTTAAACGTGCATGGTAATATATATACTGTAATTATTTTTATAATGATCATTATAAATATGAAAATACCTGCTAAATGCTATACATAAATTTTAATACGTATAGGTTTAAGCAGACGAACAAGTCTTCACAGTCTAGGATGGAATGAATGGAAGCCATGAATTCAAAAAAGAAGCTGGATCTACAAGTTTTGTTAAAGCTTGACACAGTGAAAAATAAAATAATACTTGCTGAGGTTTCACGATTACTGCCTCAACAAGATAAAGAAATTATCGATTGGAAAAAATTGGTATATATTTGCAAAGATTGTTTTGATAAACGATATAATGTTTTTTTTGATGAGAGGGATGATACTACTGATATAGCCAGATCGATAAATGTCAAGTTAGGAAAAGTTACTGTTTTAGGTATCCAAGTAATATGAGATCATGTAATCATTTCTGCGTTAGACTTATTTGAAGATGATTTTTATCGGGTTTTCCGAATATGTGAGTTGGTTATACCATTACGTATTTCCTCACGCCCAATAGTTAAAGAATTTTTAAAGAACGCCCTTAAAATGAGGTTCGTGGTAAAAAAAATTATTGCAATATCTGTTGATGTGAAGGACGAAATTAGTCTTTTGCCGGTAACTGAAGATCGGACTCCATCAACATCATTGATGTCGACAACATATTCTCTACCAAAAAATTTTTAGATAAAAAATTTCTGAATATATATATATTTATTCTGTATTTTGTTTTTATTTTTTATATCAATAAAGCTGGCCTGGTGGCTGATTTCGCATACGTAATCAGTTTACTTTTCCATGTGTATTTCGTGAATTTATTTTATTGTATTGATATTGATGTATGTTAACTCGCATATAATCAAAGATTTTTCTTGGCATTGGCGTGAAGATTCTTCACGCTCACATGATTTCTAATCTGCTGATGTTTTTTCTGTATCAGTATGATTATTTGAATGTATACATATATTATATTAAAAAATGGCAAATACACAATCTAAAACCAATTTATTAGAACAGATTTTCAAGCTTGTAGCTGAAAATACTGAACTTAAAAGGGAGAAGGCTGAATTCTTAGCTAAGGAAGCAGGATTTATGGCCAGAATAATGGAATTAGAACAAAATGCTGAAAAATCGAGATTAAGAGATACTGAACTCAATGCCAAAATCATAGAACTAGAATGGTTAGCAAAAAAAAATGAAAAGCGATTTGCAACATTGGAGCAGAATCAAAACGATGCAGTAGATAAATTAAAAAATGGCGATAATTTTCCATTTTCTAATGGAAATAATATATCCGACCCTATTATAAACCATTGCATTGATACTAACTTCAAATCATTAGAGGGTGATATAGAAAATATTTTCGATATTATATCTGATGATACAGAGCATCGAGCATTTGGTTCTTCTGATATATGTTAAGAAAAGGATAACCAATCTTCTATATCTTCCGAAACAAATTCTAATGATACTTTTGAAGATAAAGAGATCGAATTTCTGGAACGGGTATATAAAGAAACTGTTAGCAAAGAGATAAGAAAGAGAAATCAGGAAAAAAAGCTTCAGGAGAGACATAGTCTTGAGGCTTTGCCTCATCAAAATCCAGACTTATCTTCGAACAACAATACATCTAATTTATTATGTGGCTCAAAAACTGCCTCCTTAGAGAGGGATGAGCAAATTCATGTAATTTTAGCAGAGTCAGATTTTTTAGAAACTGAAATATCTAAATTGGAACAAGACAATAGCGCAATAAATGACAACCCAAGTCGTAATCAGGTACAAAGTATCATTTCTTCTGAAATAAATATTATGACCGAGTATCAACCATGCGACCCGGGGTCTCACCCTCATGTGACTGAAACTAAAAACGATTCAATTTAGAAGGATAGCCGAATTGAGATACAAAAATTTATACAAGAATTATATTTGGAACCCGTATCAGAGGAATCAATTGAAGTCATCAAAAATAAAGAGCCGGATATATCAGATCACAATAAAAATGACAAACATATTGTTATCGAATTGGCTTATTTATATCAAAAAGCAAGGAAAGCTAAAAAGAATACTATCTATGCTAAGCAAGAAGAAATTTTAAGCTGGTATTATCATGCGGAAGGTTTCGAAAGGAGGGTTAATGATAATTTATCTATTTGCCAAAATAATAAAAGAGCAGATAACTTGGCAAGAATTCAAGTTTATAATGAAATTTGGGATTGTCTTTCTGGTGTCTCACATGAGAATTTCCGCAAGCAAACTCAAAGAGCTTGTAAGATTTATAAATTATTTAACGGTTTAGGAAAGGATAAGATTAAACGGGTTAAATCTTATAGTGCGAATGGAATATCAAAACTCTCTAACTCACAAATTCAATATATTATAGAACATTTTACTAAAGAATCCCGAAATAGTAAGGATACTTTCACTTCTAACAAGGTGGAATGTGTACCATGCGACCTCGGGTCTCACCCTTATATGACTAAATTGTCTAACTCAAATGATTTAGCGGAAAGTGAGGTAAGTGCATCATCTATATCTCTATCTAATCCAACTCGTGATCGTATCTATTTCTGTAATAAAATACTAGAACAGTATTCTAATTTATATAAAGATGGTAATAGTAAAAATGTAGATTATTACGGAATTAATGATGAAATATTATATCCTTTATGCGAATTAGATCATGATGATGATGAAGATATAGAAGGAAGATATAAAATTGAATCATATTATATTAAATGTAAACAGCATGGAATTGAAATCAAGGTATTGGCATGAACTTCATTTTATACTATTACAATTTGCTTAAGTCTTTAAGGCGTCTCTCTGAGGCATATTTATTTTTTGTTGAATGTTGTTAATTTAAAGAGATGTGCAATTATATAAAACGAGAACATGAATACACAGGCTAATAAAATATTAACTCCCAAATATTTGGAATGGAATAATAAATTTACTGGATTACCAAGTGTTTTAACTGACAAAATTCATTCCAAGTTATATAAAAGATACAAGAAAGAAACTGAACTTGATCCCTAGATAAACTCTGAAACTTCTAAATCCTCACAAATTGAAGAGGGTAATTATATCTCACAAGATTGCATTATCAAGATTTTCAAGTTTCTGGAAGAAAAAGGTATAATCCATGAAACAGTACATAAATGCTTCCCTTTCTTGTCATATACTAAATCGAATGCATGGTACTAAGATGTTTTTAAATATACAGATCTAGAAGCTAAATATCTGATATGTAAAGAGGTACATACACATCGAGGTATATGGGGCGA